TACTCAACACGCTCGAAACCCAGTAAGCAGTACACCTTCTTAGAGCACGGTAGGGGCGGGGGAGGTATTGTGGGTAGGTAGGTAATCCGATCGCTGGCTGCGTGCAAATCCCACCTCGTTCATTTGCCAGACGAAGATCACTCCGTTACCGTTTCTTCGCTGGCAAAACCCACTGGCTAGATCAGCCATGCACAGATCGTCGGGAAATTCCGGTGGGGCAATATACATATGAAGCCTAGCTGGATGCCATGTCGATTGCTAGACTAATCTCGGACCATGACGAAGCGGAAGTGTCCCTCCGGATGTGCTCCCACCATCCCTTCCACCCCTCAGGGTCCAGAGTACATGTACCGGGACCAAAAGGTGGGGGTTTACTACTCAACTCGCGATTATGGGCGGGGGATGGATGGATGGGACGATTGACGGACGGACAGTCCTTCCCCAGTCCGTCGAGTGAGTAATCATGATGTAGAGCACATGGTCCGAGAGTGAAGAAGATGAAGAAGAAGCTCAGTCGGAATCGATCACAAACGTCAAAGCGTGGATTTGGGGTGGGCTAGCTGGGTATGACACGTGGTGTAGGGTAGTGAACAGAGCAGAGTAGACCCGGAGCTTGTTGCGTTTTTCTGCTAGCAATGAAAGACAGAAGGTCGGTTAGGGCATCCCTACTCTACTTACCGACGGCGGACGGACAGGACAGCCCTGGGCTTAGGGCCCAGAAGGTTGAGATCGCGGAAGATTTGCAAGATACAATGTATCATGTAGGATAGGCGGACATGTAACATACGAGTGCGTGCACTCTGCCCTTCTGTCTCTCTATCACCGGCGCGAAGATCATAAACAGTAGATAGTAGATTAGGTATGTAGACACCGCATACATTCGATATTTACACACCTAGAGTACATAATCTATACATCAACGGCCCAAGCAATACACCAATCTCTGGGCTGGATTGGCCCAAGGTAAGCAGGCAGGCATGAGGCAGGCAGGCTACCATCGGATGGATTATGATCAGAACACCACTACCACAGTCACAACCACCATCATCACTTCAATCACAACCACCACTGAGCGCTCACCATCACCATAACCACGATGATGATGACCTTGGCGCAACATCTCTCTTGCTCTTCCCACACTCGTGACTTCACCTCCATGCATGACTGACTGCATCCTTCCAGCCACGTGCGTGCGTTTCTTCGTAGGCCCCTCGGCGCCCTCCCCCCAATCCAGCCAAGGATCCGGAGTAGGGCGGCCGGACCGAACCACACGGACGTTGGGGTCTGAAAAATAATGATTTCCACATATTTCTACATACGTACACCTAGCTAGCCAGTTTGCGGAATACCCCGCAGTAGGAAGAGGTTAGGTACCGCGGGTTCTTTTTTTTTATTTTTATATTTTATTTGATTATTTCATTTTTTATCTTGATCGTATCGTAGACACGGGAATCGCGAGATAAGGGCTGGATGGGGGAGGGCCTAATGTATGTATGTATGACACCGGAGGATTTATCGTCCAAGCAAGCAAGCAGGCTGCACACGACGTGTCTCAGTAGCCGCGGGGGGGGGGGGGGGGGAGAGAGTATGTATGAAGGGAACGTTCATGTAAAGAGGAAAGAGAGGGATGTTCCAGGTAAATAACCTTAAGTCGGAGTGGGATATGGGGTAGGATGAGTGAAGTGAGGTGAGATACACTCAGGTTATCTCATGTACACCCGTGTCTAGAAAATTCCCGGATCCCGCACCATAGCAACCAGACCACGACCAAACACCACCATGAAACCCATGGGGTTTGCTTAAATCTAAGTTGTGGAAAAGGTAGCACAAGAGGTAGAGAAGGCCTCATAGTATAGATGAGTTATGGAGAGCTTCCATTGAGGAGTGGGGATATTTTCCCCCAAGAGACCTTTGATGCACCTTGAGCTCATAGTATGCCAAGGGTGAATCAGGGTTATGAGGCAAATGGGTGCCACACAAAATAGTAGCTTTTTATATTTCATTTCTTTACTATTTAATTATGCCACAATTTCAATTTCATGTCTATTCAATCTGTAGCTGTTGAGATATTTGGTGGGTCGCGGTTTGGTTGCTACGGAGTGGGATTGGGAATTTTCTAGACACGGGTGTACATCCATACATCGAATGTGTAAGCATTACTGATACACGGCTGTACTCTGCTTGTGCTTGTAAAGTATCTGTACCTGCTCTCACTCGTGACTCCCCCCCCCCCCCCCCCAATATGTGCCTGCGTATTGTACAGGCCTCCAGAAACTACATGTAAGTACTTGCTCTACGCGGGCAGACAAAGACAAGACAGGCAGAAAAGCTCCTGTCGGGAAACTCGTATGCAGCACTGCAGCCTCCCTTCTTCCCTTTCCCTCCCGTGCACTTCGGTATTTCCTTCCCCTCTCCCTACAATCACGATTCACCAACGCAGCTTAAAGGTATGTACCTCGCAGCTGAACCTCTTGTAGCGGTATCCCATCCACCCACACACCCGCCCGGAGAGATCTGAGCAAGCTCGAGAAAATAGTCTGGTATTAGGACGAGGACGAGGAAGTAGGACCTAAGGATTCGGCGCACACTAGAACTGGAATCCCGCCCCGCCGGATGTCTGGCGCACGACCGGGCCAAGCCCCCCGTCCGCGCATCAACGGCCAGCCAATCGTTCGACCCTCTTGAGCTTTCTACTTACTCTAGATCTCTGCAATAGAATACGAGGCGGACATTTGTGGTCGTTGAATCTCCGAAGTGAGAGAGAAAGGAAATAAAAATACTAACACCCACTACCCCCGCCAGATGCAGATGCAAATGCAAGTATGGATTCGGATTGGGTGGTGGTGATGGTGGTGGTGGGTGGTTAAGTTTGCGCAAATATGTAGGGTTCATCATTTACAGTTACGGTAGCAATTTCGGCCCAGCTAGGTAGAGAGTATCCCACCCCACCACCACCACCACCGCCGTAATAATCGTCCGTCCCATCACTATCATCATCACCTTCCGTAGACTGCGCTATGCACGCGCGTACACATCTGTATGTATGTACTGTCCTGCATGCCCCATTTTCAAAGGAAAGCGGGAGTCCCAAATCTGAAACTCCGCGTAAATGCAACAACAAGAACAACAACAACAACAACACCGGAGACCCGGAGGTTTCCATACCGATTTACAATGCCTACATACTCTACAACGCCCCCGAGTCCGGTCGGCGGGCGGCTGGGGGAGAAGCGAGAAAGCGGGGCTGGAAGGGAAGGGTAGGGAAGGAAAGGGAAGGAAAGGGAAGGGTAGAGTACGTCTGTGGTGAAGGGTTTCAATGCGGGGGAGCCCGTCCGTCGAATGGGGGAAGGGGTGGGAAACCCGCTCCCGCCCTTGCGTAACTTGCGTTATTTGCTTGCCTGAGAGATAATGTCGATATAGATACATGTAGTCTAGCTGGAAGCTCTGCGCGCGCGTATGTATATATATAAACAGCATAAATTGGATATTCGAAATTGGAGATTGGGTATCTTTTTTAGTGTTGTTGTTATTTCATGTGTGTTATTTCACGCTGTTGTTGTTTTTTTTCCCCACATCCCCATCCCTTCCCTTTGGTGGCTGTGGCTTTTTTTTTTTTGTTATCGTGACTGACTCGACAAGACAAGCGCCCGTGGTTGCACAGACCAGATCAGCTCTACTCTAGACTTCCATGATCTGCGCGAGATTATATTATGACCTGACAAAAAGATACATGTATTAATTTATTTTACAAGAGGCGCTCATGATTATGATGATATACATCATGTATGTAGTCTAGACAAGAGGGAAATAAAATAATGAGCCTCGTTGGCCGGTTCATGCCGGGGACGAAAGAAAATCATAAGACGAAGAGTAATAAGCGCGGCCTCCACCAACACAATCCATCCCATCGTCTTCTAGAACAACATGAAACGACGAAAACCAGGTTGCCGGCTGATGTTCAATTTCAAGAGCCGCCAGTTCGGTTCGTAATGACCCAATTCCTTGTTCGCCCCCATGCATGCATCTCTATTCCTGGCTCCTAATATGTACACATGCAGGCTGTGTGTCGCTAAGGAAAAAAAAATAAAAAATAAAGTGACGAGGTGGGAAAAGAAAAACGTAAAAATCAACTCTTTGATGGTAACACATTTCTCTACTGTGTAAATTACTGATGGTTTCGGAACCATGATGAGATACAAAACTAAATAATAATCAGGCCGCCGTACATATACCCATACCAAAATCAACCATGAGAACAGGAGATAATCTAATGTACATAAATAATAATAATAATACTGGATGTCTTATACCACCAAACCGGCCAAAATAGCCAAAATAACCAAAATCGAAAGAAATAAACAACCGTATCTTTACTCGCCTATAAATATTCCTAAGTGAAACTTGATGAAGTAAGAAGAACAAAAGAGCCCAAGTGATGAAGCAAAAACCCATGCATGTGTCAAAGAAAGACAGAAATATAGTTAAAGTGTAGTAGAAAAGAAACCAGGAGGCACAAAATATAACCGACAGATATAAGTTTCTTTTTGAAAATGGAATTTGAGAAAATAAAAGAAAATCCAGCCCGGAATGTAGCTTCGTTGCCGAAAGGCCGTGTTTGATCCATGAAGTAATGAAAATGTGACTGTACAGGGTCGAATTTTTACACAAGCTGCCAAGTATCTGCGGTGTAAATGTGCTGCTCAAGTATCGTCGGCCATCCTCGTAACAAGTTCTCCACTAGTACCTCTTCTAAATCCTACACACTCTCACCCCGATAAAGACTCCGGAATCCTACGACGCCGCCATAGCTCCTTTTTGTTGGATATCCATGTGCGCCTGGTGCCCCGAATCCCGCTGAATGACAAATGAAAATAAAATGCAATGTGGTGGAACGAAAGCCAAAGTAACCGTTGTAGCGTGACACCAAATAAAAATCGGACCCTGAAAACATGATATATCGCCAAAACGCTCAAACCCCAATAATCAAAACACGATGCCTCTCAAGGAACGTTAACATCACTTGGTAGCTGCACTGGTGGCCCACTTCCAGAAACTGGTTCCCTGTCTTCGGATGTTATTGGACCATGTGAGTAGTGGACAACCTGTGCTCCTGCAGGGTTTGCTGTGGGATTAGCTTCAAGGTAAGCTGCCATATCCCAATTGCGTTGTCCAGTTGTAGGTGGGGCAAGCGGTTGCTGCGCATGCCACATGTTGCCATGCTGACTCGAAGGTGGCGGGAGAGCCGTGTGAGGTTGCAAATCCTGACCACTAGTGCGCTGTATTGGCGGTGAAGTCGTCAAAGGTGGTTGCTTTAGGGAAGGCGGGCCAGCAGTGCCAGTTATCGAGGCTGAAGGGCCTGCAGACGACTTGGAATCTGTTGCAGATGGGGGCGAAGGCACACGCGATGGTGGGGCATCAGAAGGGCCTGATTTTGTGGATTCACCTGGTCCCCCAGGGTATGCAGAGCCTCCAGGAACAGCGGGAATCACTGAGGCTGTGGAAGAGTAACTGGCAGACTGCGGAAACAGTCAGTAAGAGAAAAAAGAATGCAAAATCCGGGTTTACTCACATATTTGCCAATAATTTTCTTCAAGGCGTGTGTTAGAACCGCCCATGGGAATACTTTCACGTCCTTCTCAATGTTGCGAGGTTTGGGGTTCGGGAAAGCCATGATAAGCTTGAAAAAGTTCTCGCTATCAGGTTTGGCTTTGGAGACCGTCAATGGCTTGCAGCCCTCCAAATTTCTTCGGATCCTATTCTTCTCCTCCACTGTGAATCGGACAGCGATCAAAGATTCCAGCAAGTAGATGCAGTCTACACTAGTGACATAGCATTCTCGTTTCTCTGCCCACCAAATACAACTTATACAGATACTATTTGGCTGCCTTTCGTTTGGTGCAACAGGGCGGAAGGTTGTGTGGATCGTACTCCCTTTCTGTCGTCGCCAAAACTGCACCAGCCGTCGCCTATTGTCCCACTCCTCTGAAGTCCAGTTATGTGCCATGTCGTTTAGTTCTCCTTGAATCTCAAGAAGAGCCTTATGGGGGTATATTCCATATGGGTTAAAACCGGATCCTGTTCCACTGGGTCCTCCTTGAACTGCTCCAGGAGCAGTATGTGTTGATTGCTGAAGAGTAGAGGTTCTGATAAGTGTCGGATTTGGTGTGTTTGAGGGAGAAGGTAACGAAGGAGGCTGTTGGTCCGGAGGGCCATCATTCCTGATAGGTCTGCCAGATTGTGGTACTGCGGATGCCTGAGCGCCGGAAGATTGTACAGGGTATGGCTGGGCCCATGGTTGCCCTGGCTGGGTAGCTGACTGTTGAAGCCCGTCTGTAGAGTATGAACCATAGGTATAATTTCGTGGGGGTGATGTCTGTGGTTGATATCCAGGGGCGTGTGTTGCTTGTTCAGGATGATCATATCCAGAATAAATACCGTAAGCCCTCTCTGTACCTGCATGGGACGCGTAAGGCGGGTATTGCCCTGGTCCTTGAGGCTGATATCCATAACCATAATCCTCACTCTTTGGTCTTATTGGTTGAGTGGAACGCTTTGCGGGGCTCCTAGTTGTAGAATCTTCAGGTTCAGCCGTGAGCTTGCGCTTGAGTTTTGTTGCTCGAGGCGGTGAGCTGTAAGATTGCTGGGTTGTTGCGTCTGTATATGTGAAGGTGCCAACATCTACAGTCCCCAACTCTTGCCCTTCCTCATCCTCCATGTTCATGTATACCGTAACTTGAGGAGCGACCCAGCCCGTTAATGCAAAAGCGGGTGTCTCGCCGGACAATCGATACATCCCGGACCCTTCGTGCTTGTGAATAGTAGCGTTGCACCTTCGTGAACCAAACATAAATCTAAACTGTCTAGAGTCGGCAGTCAAATCTGTGGGGCAGTGGAGAAAAACGCTAAATGGTGTTCCTTCAACTCCAATCTGAGGAGTATATCCCATTACCCTGGGTATTAATGGACCTGTCTGATGCTCCTCATACCCCCGTGATGGGTAAGTAGCTTCACCTATAGCTGAGGTATGTTGTTGTGATTGTGAGTGGCTATGAGGGATGTGTGCCAGCTGTTGTTGCTGTGATGGTGTTGTGTAATGGGACTGGGCAGTATATGACCCATAAGAGGATTGAGGGTTGGGCAAGTGCTGGCTCTGAGGTCTAGTGTCATACTCTAAAACATAAATAAGTTAGCTAAGTTTTGAATATAATTACCAAAATTAGATCTTACCCGGCTGCTGCTGGGGAGATTTTCCGTAGGCCGACATCGACAAGGTCCCGGCCGGGAAGGCTGATTTGGCCAGGAGGCCGTCTTCGTTATGTAACCCGCTCCGAAAGCTAGGAATATCTCGATAGTCGTAGGACGAGTAAGGGTCTCTGGACTGTATAGGATCACAATTTGTTAGCAAGGGAGCTTGGATATTTTTTTATAAAATAAAATAAAAAAAATAGCATTTGTAAATATATGTTCAGCATGCATAAACATGCTGCTAAGCAGGGGGTGGGGGGTGTATCATATAAGCAAATGAATCAGTAGAGTTGATTTAAATTACCTCTTGAACGTGCGTGTATACTGCGCTGAGTGCCACGATGAAAGATGTAGGTGGATGAAATGGGAAGATGTGAGGTCAAGGAGGCAAGAAGAGGGCTGAAGATCTCCTTGCTTGGGGTTGGTATGTAGTAGTAGTAAGGCTAGGGTGGTGGTGGTCCAAGACGAGGCTGGTCAAGCTGGGGTAGCTAGTGCGAAGTAGTCAATAGCGTGATTGTCAAGGGTTCCCAGTGATAACTATTGAAACCGTAATAGATTGCAGTTTATCACGTATTCAAAGAGAGTTGTAAAGAATTCGAGTGATCAAGATGTCAGGCTGATTTGACTCTGTTCCAAATCTGTTATTTGGGTAGTGGGTAGAGCTGAGTGGGAGCCGATCAGTCACGGTATATGTACGACGAGGCAGAGAGACACTCGAAAGAATGCGTATGAACTTGAGTTAGGAGAAGGAGTCAGTGGCGATGATTAATAAATGGTGGTGGCGCCGAAAGAGGAACAAGGAGAGCTGAGGTCGAGGCCCAAACAGGAGGAGCAGAAAGCTCGAGCGACTGTTGGAAGTCTAAGGTAGGGGAAGGGGGGGTGTGGAAGTAGGGGTGGTTGGAACGCGGAAGGAGTAGAAGGAGAAGGAGGGGAGGAGGAGGAGGAGGAGGAGGAGGAGGGGAGGACAAATGGGGAGAAGAAGAAGGTGTGGGTAGGTACCTGGTATGTATGTGTGGATGGTAGATATGTGGGATATTATGTTATAGAGGCTCTTGCAGGCACCCAGACCGACAGCCAGAGGTAACTCGAACAGTGCAGTAGTAATACGGTTCTCCGATCTGATCTCGCTCGAGATCTTGGAATCCTCGGAATCCAGGCAAACCTCCGGGCTCACACACACGAAATGGATCTACCCGGTATGTATGAGGTATGTATGAGGTACCCTGTGCTTATACACACGCACGCACTCGTATTATTTCAATAAGAAAGGGCGGAGAAGATGGAGATGACGGAGATGAGGGCTGTGAAGGTAAAGAAAAGAAAAGAAGAAAACACGGCCACCTAAGAGATGGGACGTTGCAAATAGTCTAGTTGCGGGCTTGACAAAACAAATGGGGGCGGCAGCGGGCACCAGGCGGGCAAGCAAGCTATCTTACCAGTAGTAGAGCACGAATAGGCAGTAGCTGAAAGAAGGATGATAGCTGGCTGGTGCTTGGGTGCTTTCTGGCTGCTGCTGTTACTTGCTAATGCTGTTGACGAAAGCGAGTGACGAAAGCAGAGGGAATATTATATGTCTAAAGACCCGAAAAGATGGACGCATCGAGCAAGGAGTGCAACAGGAGGCAGAAACAGTCCGCAGACTACTCTACTTATGACCATCTCCGTTAAGTTCCCTCTCTGGTAGACAAATAAAGAGACGCCCGCTGCGTGGTCGTGGTACGCAGCTAACAGCTAACTAACACTCCAAGAGGTTGACTGGCCCGAAAAACGATTGTGGATGTGAGCACCCCCCCCAGCCTCTCTTCCTAGCAGTACCTATTGCGGATGTGGAGAGAAAGGGAGAGCCAGTATTCATTTGCTCATCAACCAAGCCGCCAGAATGGTACCTACCCCTACCTCCGCCGCACCCAAGAAGTAGATCTTTCTTTTTCTTTTCCCTCCCTTGATCCTCTGCGGAAGGAACGAACGAGGTGTGTGTTGCTGAAAATACACAGGTATTAACTGGCAAGGATTCCAATACTTTAGATCTGGCAAATCCAACCCAGAAACCTTAACCTGCAGCGCATCGCATTGTGCTGCACCTTGCGGAAGAGTTTTCCCTGCCGTACCCAGGCTCGGCGCAGCCGCTTGTTTCCGGCCACGATATCATAAATATAAGAGGTACAGTAGGTACAGAGATTACTCTAGATACTGTATGGTAGATACCTACATAGGGCAGGTAAGTAAGTGCTCTAAAGTTACAGTATAATGCATGTTGTATGTATAAAAGGTAGGTTACATGTGGGTTGTTAGAGTAGGTACGGTACATGGACCTGTAGAGTACCATCCAGATACTCCTAGAGTACCCGCATCTCTACTGCCTACATCTGCTGCATCTGTTTAGAGTACCACTCCAGGCAGTATTAAGGCAGTAGGACGTAGGACGTACAGTAGGTACAGGTAGGACGTATCATGTACAGCAAGCAGTAGGTACGTTCGCTGAAGAGGCTGCTCGCGCGCGTCCCTGTTGCTTTCGATATGTTGTGGTCCCACAGACCGCATGGCTGGGGACGGCCAGATGCATCCTGCCTGGTCGCCGAACGGAATGAATGGGGCCAGATGATGTGCGTCTATTTCTGTCAGGTTAGGCAATGATTGACGATGTGCGACAGTGAAATGCTCTCGGCTGACAAGATGGGTTGCAAGGGTTGCCCTTTAGTCTTACTTAGCTAGCGCCCGAAAGCTTCTTCGCTCATTCCAGTCACCCTTTCGGAATCGGTCTACGTACCTATTGGGATCTGGACACTTGATATATCTGTATACACGATACCATTATTGTAATATTGTACATAATCATCATCATCATCATCTCCATCGTCATCATCGTTCTTGATCCCCTCCCCAACCTACATCCTATCCTTTCCAACTACCACACACATACATTACAGCTACACCATACAGCCCCCCCTACCCCATTCATCCATACATCCACCACCCCTCCCATCCCATAAAAACCCCCATGCACCCGATATTAAAAGTAGACAGAATTACCCCAGCGATCGAGTAGTGTTCTTGGCCTACCCAACAGTACTCGTCCGATATCCGGTTCTCGGATTCACCCTATTAAAAATTTCCCTATGTTTAGGGCAGGCTGAGGACGCTCTGACCTTTTTCCGAGACATGAAAATTTTCAATATGGGCAATGAGCATGGGGTAGGCAGTGCTCGAGCAGCGAGCTGAGTTTCGCGGTTCTCTGAAAGTCTGTTTCGCTAATGGTTGCTTCAAGCGGGGGTTGCAGCGCAAAAGGGAATGTCTCAGTTTCCTCAAAGCGGTCGGACCGCAGGGACTACTAGGTGGGAATGCAGGAACATGCAGGGGTCTGCAGAAGCTTTTTGGTCAGTGTCACGAGGCCACTAGACACCTCAACTCCAATCAATAACTTGAACTAATCGGTTCTCAAGATCAGCGTTCTACTGGCAGGGTGCCTAGGAATTGATACCGCCCAAGTAAAAATGAGTCTGAGCGAGGAAAAAAAGTGTTGGTGGGGATACGACATGATGCCAAAGAAAAGAGCTCTGTTGTCATGATCGCTATCCTTTTTTCGCTTCATGATAGATGATGCGGCTTATCTTGCAAGGGACCGGGTACACATACTTGCGGAAACCACCGCTACCGCGATTTCAGTCATGGCTACCGCTGTAGCTGAGACTGCCCAGAACCCCGCAACACAGGATGACGGGTGGGATGAGTGGTGATATGTAGGAAGTATCTGCCAGGGCTGCCAGGCACAACAACCTATCAACCTGTAAATCCTTCGAGATCACATCCTGTTTACCGACCCTACCGCCGAACCGTTGGTAAGATTTGTTTGCATTTACCGTTCCGTCTCTCTACCATCCCAGTTGCCCCACCACTTCTCTCCCGTTCATTGATATATCAACCGGTTGATCAAAAGTCAGATGACCTTCAGAGATATAACAAGTTATCGTTCTTGAGGATATTATGGTGTATTTTTTTCTCCCACTGTCTTGATATATCCCTCATGAGTATTGGCCTGTTATTTCATTTTTTTAATTATTATATGCGGACGATGATCATCTTATTTCGGAGACAATTCCTGGAGAATATTCCTAGATCGAATTTGAGTGCCTTTTTGCTTTATATTTTCTTTTATCGCCTTTTTCTTTCCTTCTTTCTCTCTTTCGAGAAGCGGCTCGAGTGTGGGGGGTGTGATGTTCTAGCACATTTAGACCCTCTTCGGAACGAACCGCAGAGGAAACACGCCCGAACCGTGGAACGGGTTACAGGCTAGAGTCGTTCGTTTATCTCACTACCCTATGGGTAGTATAGCACAGAAACGTGTTTTCTGTGGCGGTTGATGTTGCGGCGTTCGGACTGACTCGGACGGACACCGAAAGAACGATTGCACGAGAACGTCGGTGGCCTAACGTATCGGGGATCCAAACTCGGGACGAAACCCTGAAAAGACACCGACCTTGAAGATCATCACTCCACGAATTCGGCGTTCATTGGTTGTGACCCGGAAATTGCGCTTGAGTCAAAAATAAAAAAGTAAAATTGTTTGACGGAGTGCCACCAAATGTAGTCGAACGGGCCGCAAAGTCGGGAAAACGAATGACACCGGGTGACGGTCTGATCGACATTGCGCCACTACGCAGATGTCCCTAGTAAGCGAGGCGCTCTAATTTGACATGTCTCCCATGACCCAACCTGTCCAGCCTGTCACCTGGCAGAGTTAGGTGTGACAATGCTGTGAGTGGACGAACATTCAGTGGGATGGAGCCATTCGCCCTAAACCAAGACCCAGAACCAACACAACAACTCTAATAGCACCCAGAGCTTTGCTTCCTAAATTGGCAGTGGTTCACGATATTTTTACACGCAATCTATCGAGATCTCATTGGGAGATGCTCATCGATTAGCGGGATCTGATCCCTGTTGTTCATCCAGATCGTGAATGATTGATTGCCAGTCGTACCGGGAAGGAAGGGGCTTAGAGTTAGGGGGGGTGGTGGGGACGGACGATTCACAGTAAACATACCCTAGCTTCAAACATGGACGATACAAAGTGCCTACATACACACTCTAGAAAGCCGAATGTGGCATTACAGGCCCACACGAACCACTAGTCATATTTCCGGCAGATTTAATCTCTGTCCCATCTACACGCAATCAACTCTAAATATATGTATTCACTATCGGCTTCCGAGAATATATATATAAAAAAAGGATGCCTTTCCCGGCCAAGACGGAGAAACCTATTTGCAATTGCTTCAATTGAAACTCCCCCGGATCTTGCTTTTTACTCTCTCTCCCTTTTCGGTTCAATCGGCAGGTTTACTGAAAGAACAATCATGGAACGCCTGCTGGTCGCTCGGTGCTAAGCACCTCCGGGGAAATATCCCGCTATCTGGATTCTGGACTGCACTTCGTGGTTTACCAGGGTTAAGGCAAGAAAGAAAAAATGTCCTTCCAAACTATCCATGCATGGTGATCAAGGAGGGAAACCCGCGGTAGGCCCGCCTGTTACCGGATGGACGATACCCATTCCTTCTTAGTTGTTCGCTTGATCCCTTTTACTTACACGTACCCAGGTCACCACATCAATATGCACTCAAGCAATTGCTGGCCTCGACTGGTCCAGGCTGGAAAAAAGAGTTACTAGATACTAGATACGTGTTTTACTGAGAGGCTGCAAGGCAATGACTACTGTATAGCCTTGCCATAGCGGTGCTTTAGCTACTGTCTATGTTGTGAACGTGGAAGGCAAAATCCCCACGAGCTACAATCCCCAGCACAGAAGATACCACGTCCTGCAGGTTAGGTATCCACTGTCTAGTATCACTGTTGTCCACGATGTATGTGGAGACGCTGCACAGTGTGATGCGTGACTCAGGCTTTTTTTGTTCCTTGGCAAGTGAGTGTGCGTGTCTTCGGTTTCCAAGTTGCATCCGGAGATCTCATGTTAAGACCTGCGGGACGGTTCTTTTCTGGCTGGTCTGAATGTCAGCTCATCGTGGGCACTGAGGTGGCGAGCCCATCAGTCTGCTTTGCATGCCCTCGTGCATTTTGATCATGTCGATATCCATCATCACTATCATCACGCTTACATTCTCTTACGCAACAGAAGAGTATCCAGGAGAATTCACACACCCCAAAAATCTAAGGTTATGCTGGAGTTGTGTGAGTTGAAGATCCGGGAGTTATTACCCTAGATCCTTCAGGTCTCTCGCCAATCGACCCTTACACTTAGCGGATAATAAACGAGCTGTAATATAGGTAGATGAGTGGTTCGGGAACAAGGTTTACGGTTTGCCTACATTAGTGGGGTTTTTCAAATGTGAGATATGCTTGCCGCTTGCTGCAGCTCCTATCTCGGCGTCTAAAGGGGTTTCTTCCCACATATTGTTGAGGGAGCGCAAACATGAATATCATCTCGCAACTGCAGAAGGCTTTTAGAGATGATTGGTGATCGTTGATTCTGTGATCCTGCATTTTGAATGGCTGAAACTCAAGGAAAAGTAGCGGAATTTAGATCATATCGGACCAGGATCATACTTGCAATCGAAGGGATACAGAAAGTGGTCATTTGATAACAGACATGTCAATAGCTAACTAAAAAGGCGGGAGGTCAGAAGAAAAAGTAAGTGTAAAGTAAAGGAGAGACAAAGCGGTTATGGAAAAAAAAAAAAACAGTCTCATGGAACGACCCTTGAGACTTCAGAAACACCCCGTTAGTTTACCGGGACAGAGCCGAGAATCATGCCTAATAGGTTACAGGCTAGATGCCAGCGCGAAACAAAACATAATGTGGCTTTTTTTTGCCTCAAACAGGGACAGAGAACTTCAATCGGAGAATTGAAATCTCCTGCAGCCATCCCGCTTTCGAAAAGAAAGGAAAGGAAAAAAAAGGACGCTGAGTGATATCTTATGATGCATGTTCCCGCTCGAACCCATAATCCCAATACACTACCATCTCTCTCTCCCACCAGTCCTCCATTACTTTCCCTTCTCCTCTCCATGACTCCTCGACTGAATTAAGTTTCCGAAAAGCTTTGCGGGTTACCGCCGTTCCTCAACATGAATTCATGTTGCATGCGCTTCTGATCCTCCTGGGTATAACTCTTCTGCCTTTGATGAAACAACTTCCTTTGTAGCCCCTCAACATCGCTATCTGATACCTTCACTCCTGCCTGGCCGCTGCCCGACGCTGGACTTCCAGCGAGGGGATGATTTCCGAGGTTGGAAAATTGAGCACTGTCCTGTTCGTAATTGTACGAAGAGCGACGAGGAATCACCGGTGCCGCTTGAGGCTTCCCTTGATGGGTGGGATCACTAGCGTTCTCACCCTCTGCGGCGGAGTCCGAGGATTTGATGATTGATTGTGAGCTCTGAGTAGATGGGGGTGCCCAAGAGTAATGAGCTTTGTCGTAAGTGGGGTGAGGGGTGGTAGATTGAGACATGTCTCGACTTCTTTTTTCAGAGAGCTTCTCGTGAGATAGAGTTAAAGAATTGGTCGCTGACGATTGTTTGTGGCGGAGAGGATGTGAACTACGATGAATTGACCTTTGACAGGATGTCGTGAATCGGATGCTTTTGTCGACAGACGAGAATGAGGTGGAGGTGGTGGCGAGGAAATGCGGGGAAACAATTCTGGGAGCTCGATGGAGGTGGGAAGTGTGAGCTGAGATCGGCAATATCCCTGCACGATGCCGTCTGTCATACAGGAATCGGAGTGATGAAAACAACAAATACGAAGGTCATATTATAATACGTTTGGATCGCATATTCTCCTCGTGTAAGTGAACAGTTTTTGACTTGTTAGATCAAAGTAGTGATCAATCCAAACATGCCTCAACCGAAGCCTTTCTTTGTCTAAAACCATTCACAATATATCACTCGGACCAGCCCCGCCTTTCTCGGCTGTATCTTACCCGACTCCGCATTCAAAACCGGACCTGTTGAGAATTATCTAAGGCTTTATCGGTTCAATTATCAAAATAAGCCTCTTTGATGAGGTGTTTTATGGAGGGTTTTCCGGTTGAAATGCTTCGAGCTTTATCTGCTTTTCGTCTCCTGATATACCCAATGACAGACAAAATAGAGTGCAATATGGAAATAACCGCACTATTAGTGCTATGAGAACAATACGCAAGGATGATCATGCATTTGTCGTAATGGGTGAACTATAACCTTCTTGCAACTTCTTCCACCCTTTGAGATATGCCGAAGGTTAGAGCCAGCCGATATCGCTTTGCCATGTTTTTATCATGCTAATCAGGTTGTTGCGAAGGGTTGTGGATTCGATCGCCCCGAAATTGACCGGTCCCACTCCGAGAAGTAATTCCGGCGTGGCCACTTATTGGCGGGTAAAATAGGTATCGCCAACTCCATAATTGCATTGGAAGCAACAGTTGGGATTACCTGTTTCCAGAGCCCGACTCTTGGGAATTTGGAAGCAAATTGAAAAAGGTCTATCTGCGTATTCCGAGGTCTAGAATCCGAGAGATTGGGCTGTGAATTCAGCTCCACCACCACCAGTGTGGTGGTGTTTCCGTAGGGTACGTCATTTATAGTCGTTCCAAATACGCCCATGCTGTGTAACACAGCCGCCTTCTTCCGCCGCGGCGAATTTTTGTCCATCCGATTTTATTCATATGATATCGAGAATAGGGGGGCAAAATGACAGGTCGGACGCGCGCGCAGAAAAAGGAAAGAAAAAAGGAAACCTACGAATGTGTGCTGCTTAACGTAGGAGTACATAAGCCCCGAGTGGAGGTGGGATATGTGTGGTGGAACAAGTCAACGGCCAGTAAGTACCGCCGTGGATCTCCACAAATGTCGATTTCTCAAAGGCTTAGGGGAAACTCTGAAGATGTGCGCCGGAGGCAAACCGTATTTACCCAAGGGTCCATCTTCAATTAGTTTTCTTTACTGGTCATTGTATCAGACCGTAAAAAGTACCAGTTTTTTTGTTGAGGATGAGACATTCTTGGCAAAGAGAGCAAGTTGTTACTACCAATACTATTACACAAACACCTCAACAACACAACTCTCAGTGGGCTATCTACAATCGGGAGAGAATAAGCATATGGATACATCTAGGGTCCACAAAATCAAATCTGGAGGCTGGCACGTTGTTTCACCTGTCTGGTGGAAGTCACAGAGTCACATTCCCTCCACAATGCTATTTTTAGACTCAGCCTCTACCGATTTACTTTTATGCGCTGTTTTACATACTGTTATCATGCTTAATAGACCGCTTTTATTCCCCTCCGCTGAGTTCGAGGCTTCCTTCATTTGGTAGTTACAAGGCTCGAAGAACATCTACTTGGGTCCATGCCAGGGACTTTGCAAGCCCCAGAACCATGTATATGGTACAAAATCCTTAGAGTTCTTACGTGCAACATTAACAAGGAGGATTGCCCTCATTACAATATGTAGTGTTTACTATAATTGATGAAGTTTTGGTTGAGGATCTAGGTATCCGTTCTATGGTTTCTGTCGATGAGTGATGGATTATGATGGAACCCGAGACGGAAGGGTATAAAATGTAAAAAGCACTAATTATATTGCCCCGTAATGTTAGACCTATAAATCTCAGAGCAACGATTGGTCCCCTCTATTTGATATTCCAAGTATCACTAATTTCATAAAGCTAACTCGCAAGAGAGTGGATTTCTGGGTCATAACATGTACCTGCATAAAGTAGGAACCCTATTGAGAACCAAGGAATTACTTTAGAATAACTTAAATAATAGGGGCCCGACATACACACACGGATAAACCGATAGTATCCCGAGTATCCTAGGAGAGTGAGGAGGAGAGTAAATCTTTTCTCCTTCACCTCATGGCATATCACTCGCTTGTCCGTGTTTTAGGTAAGTATACTAATGCAATTGGAAGTTGGGTAAACACATGATATATAGTCTCGTGCCCATCAGATGCTACACAACAAATATCAAAGTGCAGGTCTGAGTAGCAAGCCTACATGACACATTTCTGACCATTGCAGGTTTTGGATTATGTTTTCTACCTACGTGCACATGGGTTGCTGTCTGTACACTACCTCCTCTCACGCTTTCGTTCAGAAAATACACATTCAATACATTTTCTATTAAAACAAGACGAATTGAGATGATGGGTTCCATTTCCCTCGGGGTCCACCAAGGTACTACCCCCACGAGTGCCAAAGATGGCTGTCCCAGAGTCTTTGGTTACCAGCAAAACTAGCAATAGCCTGCAGGCTGGATCAGCTGAGGCCGGGCATTGAGAGTATGAGACCGATGAAAAGCCACCCAGAAAGGGATGAAGGAGGGTGAATACTGTCTAATACACTACCAGTATATATAGATAGAAGTTGTCCGGCATTAATGTTGCCCGTATACTGGGTACCTTATAAAATTCTTGGCAAATAAGAAAGGCTCTTGGCACAAAGCGGCTGAGGGTCAATGATAGATACTGTAGCCATGAAATCTGTTACAACACAACGTAAAGCTACATTATCAATAAGTAAACCGTAGCATATGAATATCGCTATAAAGATAGGATTCGGTGGTAGTTGCGAATCTTCGGTCTGCTTACCTTTTGAGAACTAGTCAATGGTATGATTTACTCGGTCCTAAAATGTAATTGGCGGGCCTATTATCTAAAATATTACACGTAATTAATCGTCGTATTTATTAGTATACATACGACGGGCCATGAACGTATCTTGTACCTAAATTGACGGTATGGTTGTCGATCCGGTAAAACGTCTAATGTAGACTCAAATAACGAGCAGTTCCCGTAAACCCCTTTTCTTAATTTACTGCTACAAGTGATCAACTTTCACCATTAGTGATCCATAATGGTGGGAAAGTCCAACTGTTGGTGAATGACCGGATAAATACTGAGCACGTGACGATAACCAAATCGATTCCGCTGCTTAGTCAGGCTCTGAATTAGGTCTGGTGGGTCAATTTGGATGGTCAACGACCGGCGGAGCACTTTTTCGATTTGGTGCTCTCATCCGTACTTTTGTGACACCTGAACAATACCCTCTAAAGGCAACCTCCAGTAGGGAACCAGTCCGTTTTCACTCGATGATATATGTCGCACTGCATCAATTGCCGGACCAAACTGTCGGGCCCAGCTAAAATGTCTGCGCCGCGCGCGGGATGGGCTCTGGCATTTGTTCTGCTTTGAGTGTGAGGCCTGTATGTACCCAGCCTTCTCACTCCCCGCCTCTATCCTGGCTGCCGGATCCTCGGCAGTGGCAGTGTTTTTTTAGTGGAGGTACATGTACTTAGCCAATCTTCATGCCTGTATAGTAGGTATGTAGAGTACATACATATGTACATACATACGGGAGTTATTTCGTTTTTTATTTTTATTTTTCTGTTGGACCTTATTACGTATGTCATTGATTGAATCCACTTAGAGTTGTGCTTGTGAAATCGTTGTTGGCTGGGTTCACGACCGCCCGTAAAACTGAAGTCGCATTTTAGCCAGTATGCATGCATGTAGTTGGCCATCCATCCTACCATGGAATCCCCATGTTCAATGGATTCGATTATATGTTTCTCATTTTCTTTTTCAGCCCATGCATGAATCAGTTCTCATCTTAATCTTGCCTTCTGTATCTGCCCGGACTTTAGATGCGGCGGCGGCGGTAGTCTTGGCAACCTGAAGCTTACCTTGCCGATGCAGTTAAATGTCGAGACGCAAGAAACCACTTAACGCTATCAACAAGTAGACCATGACATGCGAATAAACCCAAGAAATTTAATGAAAAAATTGTCTTTACGTACCGCTAACGCAAGATAAAATCCCCTGGCTATCGGGATCGGGAGTTGTATTTTTTATTTTTTATTTATTGCACCTTTCAAGTCCTGCTTGGCTGTGGCCTTGTGATTTAGGCACCAGGATTTCTAGCAAATCATTGGTCGTGGATCTCGACCGCCCCCAACATACTGGTCCCGATGGAATCGCAATTCCTACCTCATAAACTAGTAGCGCCAAATTTCCGATTCCCCGTCCCGTGATCATTCTGGGTTTACCCCACTCTCTATTATGTTCTTTGGCGTGGTCCCTCTTTATAAGCGTTTGTGTACTTACTTGCCGACTGCAATACAGGACGGTAGAGAGATCTAAAGTAGGGATACTGATAGTGAGATATTGTGCCTTTAGAGGAGTAAACTGGACATGTGTTCTTCCTGATGACGTCAGCACAGCTTACCAGAGATGCGCAGGCGACGAACTGCGTTCTCTACAACACTAAAGTTTGAATTCCTGGATAGGTGTTTGGATGAAATCTCGTGAAGGGTGGAGGGGAAGAGGGGGCGGAGAGTGAGACGCTGTGATGCGCTTGGCATCCTATATTATGCGTAGAGTAGTAGTAGAAGTGCAAGAAGCCTAAACCTTGTTCGGCCAAATTTAATGTATCTGTGAGGATCCGTCTTCCCGGTTTCGGGATGCAGTA